CCCCTGGCCCCCCCCCCCCGCCACCGAGGGCCACTCACCATCCTCATCCACCTCCTCTATGATGGCGTCCAGCTCCTCCTTGGTGGGGTTCTGGCCCAGCATCCTCATCACTGTCCCCAGCTCCTTGGTGCTGATGTCCCCGCCGCCGTCCGCATCAAACATGTCGAAGGCGGCCTTGAACTCTGCGGGGCAGCGGGGGGTCAGGGCCGGGCAGCGCGTGGGATGGGGCCGCGGCAGCAGGACAGAGCCCAGCCCCACGCCTTGACCGGGTCTGGCCCTTCTCCCCACCGCCTCCGTGCTCACCTGCGATCATCTCCTCGCTGAGGAAGGCACGGGCTTCAGCCTGCTGGTCCGTCTGCAAGGCAAGGGAGAGCGGTCACCGCGGCTGCCTACGGCATGCCTGGGAGCCCCTTGCATGGGTGCTGGGAGAGCCCCTGCCCGGCTGGAGCACAGGGCCATGCCGGGGCGAGCTGCGGACCCTGGCAGTCCCTGCCTCTGGGGTGCCACCCAGGCATCTGTGAGAGCGGTGGGCTACGGGGAGCAGCCTGCCCAGGGCCCCCCCACCAGCTGGGGGGGGAGCTCCATGGCACAGGGGCTGCAGTCCCCGGGTGCAGCCTTGGCATTCCAGGCACGCAGTGCTATTTTTGGGATCTCCTCGGCTCCCCTTATAGGGAGCAGCAGGGCCACGGCCACGGGCACCTGTCGGCCTCGATCGAGTTTCTCCTGGAGGTGCGGGCCGGCTGCGGAGCCAGTGGTGACACCATGTCGCATGACCCAGCGCTTGGCTTTCAGCCGCCCCCTGCCACCGCCGCCTCCGCACAGCCCCAAGCTCCGGCCAGGGCTGAGCCAGCATCCCCAGGCACCCGTGCCGCTCAGGCAGCTGCACAGTCCCTCTCCGGGGCACGTCCTGTGGGGACCCTGCACCACCCCGACGCCTCCCTACCCTCGCCCGTCACAGTCAGCCCGGCCCCGGGGATCGTCTCCCCACCACCACCTGCAGAGGTGCCTCAGCAGCCCAGATCCCCCGGGTGTATGCGGTGCCCAGTGCCTCCTTGCCCTGCCGTGCCTCAGCCCGGCATGCAGCACGTGGCATGCAGCACGCGGCTCGTGGCAGCATGGGGGGGCTTAACATTGAAGCCATTTCTGCTGCTTCCCTCCCCCAGGGAGTCACCGCCTCCTGCAGCAGAAGTCCCCAGAAGCTCCCTGGTGCCCCTGGCACCCCAATTTGTAGCGTCCCTGCTGCCTGGCCTGCCCCCAGCTGCTGGCCCCCCGGCCCCGGCAGCCTATCAGCTCCTCGGTGGCAATCCGGCCCCGCTCATTGGCAACAGGTGCATTTTACCTAATTTAGCCAAAGCGTTATTGGCCAAGAGCTGGGGATTAAACGTGGATCTGAAGCCGGGATAGAAATTCAAGCCCTCCAGGGAGGAACACCAGAGCCTTGACAGGAGGGCAGCTCTGCCCCCCCCCC